TTTTTTTCCAGACAGAGTTTCTCTGCATAGCCCTGGCTGTGCTAGAACTTACTCTGTAGACCAGGCTGGCCTTGAATGCACAGAGATCTGCCTTCCTCTGCCTCCCAAGTACTGAGATTACAGGCATGCCCCACCACACCCGCTTATCAGATGTTTATTAATCTATGTTATGATGTGCTACGTATGGACAGTGTGTATTATACTGTGTCTATTTATTGATTTGTGCATATAGTGGGCACTAGGATAAGTGTTCTCTCTCTCTCACAAACTAATAAAATATTTAATTTTTTAATGTTAAAAATAATTAAAAGTGGCTTTATTTTTGCGACTAATTATAATAGCACACATTTAGTTTTTACAATAGAATTTGAGTTGTACAATTTTAAAAATAATTTTGTTAAAAGAATTTTTTTCAGTTTCATTATTCTTACAGCATGGCAGCTTGTCTTTTGCATATAATTCCCTTTTAAATTATAGTTTTGGAAAACATACATAAACTTGCTTCCAACAGTGTCTTACTACATATTTCTTAACAGGAAAGTAGTATCCACCTACTCTTCCTTCTTTATTCTTTTTACAATTTTCTTTCTTTTTTGATTTATTTCTTTTTCATTTAAATTTTTTTCTTTTTTTAAATTTTATTAATTACATTTTATTCATTTTGTATCCCCCCATAAGCCCCTCCCTCCTCCCCTCCCGATCCCACCCTCCCTCCCCTTTCTGCATGCATGCCACTCCCCAAGTCCACTGATAGGGGAGGTTCTCCTCTCCTTTCTGATCTTAGTCTATCAGTTCTCATCAAAAGTGGCTGCATTGTCCTCTACTGTGGCCTGGTAAGGCTGCTCCCCCCTCAGGGGGAGGTGATCAACGAGCAGGCCAATCAGATTATGTCAGAGGCAGTCCCTCTTCCCATTACAGAAACTGTGGTACATCTATACAATGGAGTATTAATTAGCAATGAAAAATAAGGAAATCATGAAATTTGCAGGTAAATGGTGGACCTGGAAAGGATCATCCTGAGTGAGTTGTCCCAGAAGCAAAAAGACAGGCATGGTATATACTCACTCATATAAACATACAACATAGAATAAACCCACTAAAATCTGTACATCTAAACAAACTAAGCAAAAGAGAGGACCCTAACTAAAACGCTCAATCCCCATCCTGAAAGGCAAAGAGGATGGACATCAGAAGAAAAAGAAAATAGGAAACAACCTCGGAACCTGCTACAGAGGGCCTCTGAAAGCCAGAAGAAAAACAGGAAACAACCTTGAAACCTGCCACAGAGGGCCTCTGAAAGCTTCTGCAGTATAGACTGTCAAAGCAGATGCTGAGCCTGATGGCCAACTGATGGGCAGAGTGAATGGAATTTTATGTAAGAAGTGGGAAATAGTAAGAGCTGGAGGGGACGGGAACTCCACAAGGAGAGCAACAGAACAAGATAATTTGAACACAGGGAACTTCCCAGAGACTCATACTCCAACCAAGGACTATTCGTGGAGATAACCTAGAACCCCTGCACAAAATATTTAATTTTTTAAAAAAGTGGTTAAGTGGCAAGGAGACAACTACAGTGACTCAGATATGGGCCTAGGCAGAGGAATAGGAACTAGAGTCAGGGAGACTGTGGGACATCTAAGTTAAGCATGTGTGGGAGCAGCTGCACACATAGGGAAGGCACTTAAAGGCACACTGAGTCGGGATCAAGCACATATGGTAGGGAGAAAAGCACAATGAGGATGGGACACAGAAGTAGAAGATGGAGACTAACACAGAGAGAGTAGGGATGGAAGGGAGTATGTGGTAAAAGCAAACAAAATACTCCAAAAAAGACAACCCAGTTAACACACACAGACACAGAGAGTCAACAGAGTGAGGCGAGAGAAGCCCTCGTTCTGACCAGCCACCAAAACTGCCTGCCATCAGCCAGAGCTAGTAGGATGCAATCAAGGCAGCCCCAGTCAGTGCTGCTATTTTGAAAGCTTGTAAGGATTTTTTGAGGTAAGGCTGGGCTAGCAGCCGACAGAGCAAGGCGCTAGAGGTAGGCTTTGAGAATTATGACTCAGATGTGCTTGGCTTCCAGCTTGACGCCCATGAGATATGTGCTGTCAGTTCATGCTGCCAGAGTTGTGGGCTCCACATCAAGACATGCCTTCCCTGCCTTGGTGGACTGTAGACCCTGGATTATGAGCCAGAATTAATCTTTCCTTACATAAATTATTTCTGTCTCCAGTTCTGTAACCCAGACATGAAAACTAACTGATATACTAGGTCTATACATAAAATACTGACTGTGTTTTTCAGGATTATGGCTACAGACAGAAGATGGGAGGTGAACAGGAACAAAAGTTGAGGGAGGGTTTTGTTTGTATCTTCAGTAATGGCCACTAATGTATTTATGCCAAAGGAAACAAATAAGTTAGGAGAAGCAAAATGGAGGCAAGGTAAAAGTGGGAAAGATGAGGAACAGAGACACATATTCTATCAGAGGAGAAACTGTTCCATGGGATTCCCAAAAAAATAAGTTAAAAAAAAGGATGTACATACACAGAGATATATGTGTGTGCATCTATATCTACATATTTCTCCATATGGAATACCTAAAGAAAGAGAGACAGCATCTTTAAAGAGGAAGACAGAGAGGATTAAGTGTTAATGGACAGAAAGATTCAGTAAAGGCTGCCACACAGAAACAAAAGGTTACCAGCAGAAAGAGGACAAAGAACTGAGAACTTGAGTCCAAGGTTTGTTTGTTTTTAAGGGACATTCCTATAGGATCACATAGCAGACCTGATAAGAACTGAGAATGGTGACAAGGACCGATCAACAGGAATACTACTTCAGTCTTAGCAAGCCCCTCTGGGCTCTGGTTAGTTGGTTCTGTTGTTTTTCCTGTGGAGCTCTTGTCACTTCCAGGTCCTTTTCTCTTTCCTCCCACTATTCCCCAAGACACCCTACACATTGACCAATGCTTGACTCTGAGTCTCATCATCTGTTTTGAGGCGCTGCTGGATAAAGCCTCAGAGGACAACTCTGACAGGCTCCTGTCTGCAAGGTTAGCAGAATATTGTTCATAGTGTCAAGGATTGGCACTCTCTGATAGGATGGGTTTTTGGTTGGGCCAGGCATTGGTTGGGCATTCCCTCAATCTCTGCTCTATCTTTATCCCTGCACATCTCGTAGGCAGGGTAAATTTGGGATTGAAGTTTTTGTAGGTAGGTTGGTGTTCTCACCTTCACTAGAAGACAAGTCTAGTTAGAGGATGCTGGACCTAGGACCTCTACAAAGATGTAGAAGATGGGTAGTTTAGGCTTCAAGTGGGTAATCTAGTAAGGGAAGTGGGGACTGTATCAGACACGAGCTCACTTGCTAGCTTTCAGATCACTTCCCCTAGTGGGGCTACCTTGACAGGCCACAGGGGAAGAGGACACATTCAGTCCTGATGCAACTTGATGAGCTGGAGTGAATGGGAAAGAAAGCTCCCCTTTTCTGAGGAAAAGGAGAGAGAAGAGGAGGGAGAAAGAGAGGGTGAGACTGGGAGAGGAGAAGGAAAGAGGCTACAAGGATGTAAAGTGAATAAAATAAATAAATGAGAAAAAATTTAAAAAAACATGAATACTGGATTTTGGATGGCACCTACTCAGTCTGTAGCTTTCTCTAGCATTCCTCAGTAGGTGAAGGAGTGGGTGAAGGAGGACATGGTGTTTTGCTATGTTTTGTAATAAGGTCTCACTGTGTAGCCCTACCTGGCCTAGAATTCGCTATGTAGAGTTCAAACTCATAGAGATCTGCCTGCCCCTGCTCCTGTTCCTAAGTGCTGACTTTAAATGCATGAACCACTATGCCCAGCTCAGAGTATTAGTTTTAAAGAGATCATCTGCTTGATAACATAAAAGCAGATGACAAATAGAAACAAAACTATGTAAGAGAAATAGGCTTGGTAAAAAATGCTAAAAAATATCGTGTAACCAATGTGGTAATAAAAGTTAATACTTATTGATCAGTTACTATGTATAAAGCACAACTGTAAGCATTGACATACAACAGCATTCAATTCCTAGAAAAAGCTATGGCATAGGTGACAGTATTTCTAGCGACATATAATGTTCACACAGCCAGGTGGAGCAGGATCTCACATCAAGAAGTCAGTCTCCTCCATCCACACTTTCCACTGCTTGCATGCGCCACTGTCACAGAACAGTGTGTGGTACCTTAATTTCAGCTGGTTTGTAGTAGCGTCTGTTGGGATCTTCCAATGATGTTCTGTATCCATCTCTCAAGAAACGCTTAAATCCATATTTTCCCTTTAATTTTCTGATCACTTTATCAAGTGTCTGGCTGAATAGAACTTCATCATCCAGGGCAAAGGCAGGGTAGCTGATGCACGGGAGCAGGGCAGCATCTGTGTTCTGGGTCATTAAGATAACGAGGTTGTGAGGGTCTGCAGTGCATGACCAAAACAGCCCAAGAAGTTCATTCAAATTAAAGTAAAAAAGCTTATCAGCTGAAATGAGCTAAAGACAGATGTTCCTATGATGCGTGTTTTGTAAAACTGATAAAACAGGTAACACTTTATTCATTAATAAAAAGAATTTTTAAGCTTCAATATCAGGATGTAACTTGAAAATTATAACTGAACAGAATGTAAAAAAAATTAATACTTACTGTCACAACTTAGCTAATGCAGCGATTTGCCTGTAACAGTAAAAAAGGAGGGAAAAAAACCCAAAAGTCCCAACAACTAACTGAATAAATTAGAATCCACTAGCATTTATACTGCAGAAGCAATTAGAATTGATATTACAGAAATTTGTTTACTGAATGGAAACATGTTTGTTCATAGAAAAACACTATTCTATATTTTCCTAAAACAAAAGTTATGTTCACTAAAATATGTGAAAACCTATATCAGGATGTTGCCAAAGACTATTTCAGTAGTAGAATAAATGGCCAGAACATCATTAAATAAACACATAATGCCTTTTTATTTGTTGTGTGTTCATTACAATCTGGGATTAGTCATGTAAGAGTTAAATATTCTGTTTGGGGTAGTTTTTGAAGGATAAAACTGTAAACAACCCCTAAAGAAATGGACAGCCAGGTACAGCAAATACACAGAAGTTCATCAAACAAAGAAAAGAGATTCAGATATGCTCCACCATGGGGGCCCTAGACGAAATGAATTCTTCTAAGACTCGATTATAAAAACAATGATTCCTTTTTTAAGGCTACTTTTGCTAATTTCTCCAAGAGAGAAAAGAATTGTCTACTTTTCTGTTGTCTAACAAAAAAACTCAAAGGACTGGACAGCTTTGCCTAAAGCTGTTTACTTCCTCACTGAGCCTCAGAAGCAAAAGAAGACACGTCAGTATAGCGTCTTCTCATCCGACATGAACTCCACACTGTAGTGTGCTTTCTCGAAAAGTAGGTTAAACAACATAAAAAAAAAGTTATAAATGAGAAGTCATTTCAGTTTACTGTAATATCATCTCACATGAGAGCGTGATTCTCTTGGTAACAGTGAGCACAATGTCTGCCTGTTGCGATTGTGAGCGTCCAGATCCACAAATATAACTGACCAAGAACAGCCCTAGAAACAGAAAAGGAAATACATTTCAGAGAACTGTAAACCATGTGACATTCTTTCTGTGAGATAAGACAATTCAAAAACATTCTGTCACTGAATGCAATTGTGTAAGAGATTATTAAGACTTTAATTTTTATTAATTATTTGTTTTTCATAAAAATGGATGCTTTTCCTACATTCATGTTTGTGTACCACATGCGTACCTGGTGCTCTTGAAGGCCAGAAGAGGGCACCAGAAGCCCTGGAACTGGAGTTATAGACAGTTGTGAGCCTCTATGTGGCTGCTGGGAACTGGACTTGAGTCCTCTGGAAGAGCAGCCAGTGCTCTTGACCACTGAGCCACCTCTCTAGCCCTTTACTGTATGCTTTCAATATTTCCTGAATTTCTTGAAACAAATTTAATATTATTAGATATTATTTTATATTTTCTTATATATCATGTTTTGATTTTATAAGATGTCTAATAAATTACAACCATTTTAATAAAGAAATAGTTTAGCTAGAGTATGATATGAGATAAAGCAAGAAATAATTTTGATTCGTAAATCTGAGTTGTAAACATCTCCTAAATTGTTTTGATTACATGATCAAACTAAACAAATTTAGGTAACAATCTAGAATTATGTTGAATAATTATCTAGAATAATTCTTCATGAAGATTATCTAGTAAAACAGAATGATTGCTCATTCAAAACACCATCTTTAACTCTGGCAACTGACTTGATAACAGGGAATGAGTAACGTTCTCTCAATAGTTGTGCTGAGGCTAAACAGAGAGTCCTGGGCTCCCTACATTTCTCCTGACTACAGAGAGCAGCCTGGAGCATCTATTCCTATAAGAGTACAACATACTTTCCTGTGAGGAAAAACAAGAATGAATTTGAACACTGCTCCAGAACACAGCTGACCAGATGTGAGGTGCGTGGTAATGTCTGAGAACCTTACGTGTGGCACTGAGTCCAGGTCAGCTGGAGAGTCGAAGAGCAAAGCCAGAGCCTAGACTCTGGTGGGAGCAGCAGCAAGCAGACTGTTAGAAAACATGGCAGGAAAATAAATAGGCTAGGGGCCTGCGAATTCACAAAACAGGAGCTAGAATGTACCTCTAGGCCAAGAACTGTCTTGTCTGAAACCGGACCTTTAAAATATATAAAAGGATAATGTATAACTAATAAGACAAATTTGACAAGTCTCTCCATTATATGATAAAATAAATAGTAAACTAATGTTTTCTGGCCAGAAATAAATAACTTACTTAAACTCATCAAGTATTTGTTGAGGTTCCAGTTTTTATCTGCCACCCTTTAAGATGTATGCCTAAGAGAAAATAATCTCATAAAATGACTGCCTCCAATGTCTGGGATAGAATACTGTCATCTGTATAAAAATATATACCATGCTATAGGCCTTATAGCCAAGATTTCCAGGAGGGGAAAAACATAAAACAAACAAATAAAAAAAAAAAACCCTAGAACCACATAAGGACACAGACAGCAAGTTTCCATTTAGAAGCAATTCATTAACAACATCAAGAAAAGCTCACACAGAATTATCACCTACTTTAAATCAACAAACATGCACTTTTAGGGCTGCAGATTTCAAAGGAAGGCAGATCTCTGCTCTGTTTTGAATACTTTGCAGAACATGAGCAATCTGTCATTCCAGCTTCTGACCTCCGTGCAATTTGTCAGTCTCCTGCCTTTCACAATTAAAGGCAAGAACAGGAAAGGATGTGTTAAAGGAATTACTTGAGAGAACCTATTAACTTCGGTTATTTGATATTTAATTTATTGTATATGTATAAGTGTTTTGCTTACATGTGTGTCTGTGCTGCACATGTATGTCTGGTACCCACAGAAGCCAGAACAGGATGTCAAATCCCTTAAGACTGCAGTTGTAGATGGTTGTGAGCTACCATGTAGGTGCTGGGAATAGAACCCAGGACACCTCTGGAAGAGCTCTTAACCACTGAGTCATCTCTTCATAGTCCCTAGATTGATTTTTATATTCCACTTCCTAAAGCCACGACTCTGCATAATATGCTGACTCTATCTAGAGTCTTTTTACAACTAAGAGCTCAAACTTTTCGATCCATCTTAGTATCTGTCATTGCTTGTTCTAATAGATGAACAAGATGATTGAACCTGACCATCACCATGAGGACATGAGTTTTGGTATTGTGGAAGGGCTGCCCTCTCCACTTAAGCTTCATGACCAGAACAGATACTCCTGAGTTGGTCACAAAGGCCAAAGGTAATATCTGTGACCCTTATAAACTGCCAACACCAACAGTCTCAATAAAGTGATGTGACGCCAGGCTGAGACCAGTGCTGGCACATGTGTTATTAGTGCTACTGTCTCTTGGGCAAGCTGTATGCCACTGGAGAGTGGGCAGAAACTGCACAGTGTCTTCTGACTTTGTGGATGCCATTAGGAGCTCTTTCATGTATCGCTTTGATAGGTACTTTTAGAAAGGCAGGTCCTGGCTGGTTCCAGGCTAACTGCATTTGGAGAGAAAGAGGGACTTCTTATAGAGATAGCAGATTAGAAGCTACATCAGTCATCAAGCCATCAAGGAAAAGAATTGGATAGACTCTATTCTTAGGAAAGAAATAGTTGAAGAGTGGCAGAAACATACAAAGCAATTGTGAGAAAGTAAATAAGCCCAGGTGAGATCTATAAAGACCCCTAAAAGAAGCAAGCGTGATCCAGTGTTCCTGAGGCAAGGCCCCAAGAGCTGCCAAAGAGTGTAGGGCTGTACGTTTGGTGAACCAGGAAGAAGCTGAGCTACACTAAGGGTGGAGAGATGGACAGGACATAGTTAGCCACAGAATCTGTAACAGAAGTATATAGTAGAAACCAAAAGCTGAGATTTTCCAAGAATAAGTGACTAGTCCAAGGACTACAGGAAGTATTAGTGCAGCCACTGTCTGAGTGAGCACAGCATGAGAATAAACAAGTGTGACAAACCTGGTGCATTCCTCATGGCGGCTAAAGTATTCCTGCCAAGATGTATGGGAAACAACAGACCAAACAAAAACCAACCAAGATCTAGCCAGGAAGAATTACAAAAGGACACATAATAGCATGCAACCACAGAGGTTAGCACAGCATTAAGGTGCCTTCCACTACCCTCAGAGCCTAGATTCCAGAAAGCCAGCATGGAAAGTGCTAGCATATCAGAGATAGCTAGATGTGTGCAGGGCATTAAACTAAGGAATTCTTACAGAGAGAGGAGTCCCACACAGGCATACTCAGTAAGGGCATCATATATTAATGTGTCTGAATTTATGATAGTGGATTCCTCCTTTTACCATGCAACTGTGAAGCCTGCTAAAAAAGACAACCCCAAGTAAGAAATAATATTGGTTCTAATCAGGAAGAAATACTAGTTGATCTGATAGTTTCTGTTTCATTGTTTACTTTTACATGTACACTTTGGTATGTCATTTGGTTGGTTGGTTTTAGGTGTGTCTGAATAGGCTTTTGTGAGTATCCTTTCTTTTTCTTTATCTATTCAAATTACTATTTGTGTGGCTAAAGGAAATTGCCTATTTACTAACATTTAGCATGTAGTTATGTTAAAAAAAAAATCTACGTTTTTGGCAGCAGTTTAGAATTTTTGAGCATTAAAACTCTAAGGGGGCTATAGTCTCCTTTACACCAGGGTCAGGAAGGAGCCTAGATGGAGCCTAAAAAAGCATGACTGCTTTTTTAATCACTCCAATGATTCTAGGGTACACACAAGATTTAAAAACACACTAAGAAACAATATTGGCAGAATATTTACAGCTAAGACCCAATGCCCGGTTAGACAAGTCAGATGTTCCAGAAAAGTAAAGCCCTGGCAACCAGGCAGGGACAGCAGTCATTGCAGCAGCTGTGAGGAGTGTGTGTGTGGAGATGAGGCAGTAGGTGTTAAACAGCAGGTGTAGCCTGAGGCCCTGCAAAGGAAGCAACAGCATGACAAAAACCAAGCCGGCCACTACCAGGGTCACAGCCAAACTAGACACTCTGCCCTACCCAGCTTTCTCCTTGGCAGCTTGACCTTTTCAAGCTGCTGTTCTATTAAGCCCTCTGCGTTCATCCACAACTCCTGGCAGTGTTCTTGAGAAGTTCTAGAAGGCTTACAGCCCACCCCAATTTGTTAGCTTCCTTACTGGACTTCCTTTTCTTATAGCTTTGGCAGAGCCCACTGTCCCTCTATGACTAAGAACACTAGTAACCAGTTGTTAGTTAAATCACGTGGAACTTCACATTGCTTTGCCAATTCAGGAATCTACAAACATTCCTGAAGAAAACTAGTCTAGTTCTTGGTCCAGAATAGTGAGCTTTCTCTTACTCATTCTCTTCCAGCAACAACTGAATCTACTGTCAGCTGTTAGAGACTTTAAGTGGAAAAAAAAAACAAAACATTGCTTAAATATGACATGAAAATCTAAAGTGATTTTCTGACCTTCACTTTATCCAAAGATGGAGTGAGGAGGTGAGTAGGGAGAGAGAGATGAGAGAGAGAGAGAGAAAGAGAGAGAGAGTGCTCTGAGGTTCACTAGGCCCATAATTTCCCATCCTCCCTATAGACATTACAAAAATTCCCTCTCTGCATGAAACATACATTGAGACCTAACATGGAAACTGTATGGTACACAATGAAAGGAATATATCAAAATGTGGATACATCAAAATGTGAAACTCCTTAGAATCGACTCAGAGAATGAAGAAGTTACCCAACAACCAAAATCAAACTTATGAAGACAGTCCCACCACCAAATGAAAGTTGAACCTGAAGTGGGGCCAATCATTTCCAAGCAAAGCTGTCCGAGAATGAACTGCCACATACATTTCAGGCAGTCACTGCTTTAAGGGAATTATAGTAACTTTGACAACAGATAGCAAAATTACTTAAATATGCAAATACTAGATTTTTCTTTTACCTGGTTTCCAAAGAGGTTAAATCCATTAATCGCTTCTAAGGCTGCTTTTGCTAAGCCAACAGAGCTAGAGAGAAGGGAAGACATTATTACTGCCACACCACAACAGGTTTCTTTCATAATAAGTACCTTATAACAGCCCACACTGGGGAAAAACACCATCACCACAGGTTATTTTCATTTTATTTTTTATATTAATCACCCAATGAAAACTACTTCTAGGTTCATGTTGACCTGGATTTTTACCACTGAATGGAGCAGTTTTATTTCTGTTCATGAGCTCAGGACATAGTGGCAAGCTTCTGGATGAGACCTGTGCAGTCCCTGCCTGGCTGGGCATCATTACTCAGATCAATGGAACAGACTCTTCTGGTGTCAATTTGGAGACTTTAAAAAAGATTTTGTGTGTCATATACTTGTTACAGAACGTAATTTAGGGTAGCCACTCAAATAGGTTCTTTCTAGGATCCAATAAAATTGGCATTACTTTATGTTCACAGATCACTGTATCTCTCATTTTGGCCTATACTCTCTGTAATAAAATGAGTGCTATTTCCCTCAGTGTCCCAATCTTTTGGCCTCTAAGATGCTACAAAGAACAGTGCTGAGAATGACTTATTCCATCACAAATTCAACGCTCTGCACAAGTGCTGCAAGCAGAGTGAACTTTCACCCTTGCTTAGATCATGCCTGTTTCTGCTGTAACTGAAGTTCTCAGCCCAGTTTATCTCGCTTACTGCACATTAGTATTTTTTTACTCAGCCCAGCTGTATATATTGCTCATATATATCACTGAAACTCAACAAGCTGTCACCAAGTCAGTATTTCTCTAGTGTGGTCCCAAAGCAGCAGCACCTAGCAGCATGTTGGGAATGCCAGTTTTCACTTTTGTCAGGGATGAGGTCCCAATAAACAAGTGTTTGCATGCATGCTAAATTTAAGAATGATTGGCCGAATGTGCACTCTCTCCATAGGACACTGTCCTCTGGGTACAGCCTGGCAGTTACTATCTTAACCAGAGATATCTTAATCTTGTGTGACTACCCACAAGATATGTTTAAGGTGGGTACTGCTGTTCCCTCAGGAAAGGAGGGGTGGGAAGGGTCATTACACTGTCATTTGAAATTCCAGCTGCACTTCTGATTTGTGACTCCCTGCCAGTATATCTAGTTCTAGTCATCTGCGTGTTGTCTGTGGAGGTGCTCAAGTACAAAGTGTAGAAAATAAACTGAAGTGTGGGTGAGAAGAGTCAGTCCAACTATGCAGTCATTGTCCGTGCCGGGGTGGGATCTTCTGGTGACACAGCTACTGTGCTCACTCATGTTGCTCTAAGCACCCTACACTTTGCTTCTGTAAGGACAGTAAGGTCATTGGTTCACCAAGTTGAACATGGATGCAGTTGTTCCCTTGGTCTGTTGTTAGAGCTGTCTGGGGTAAATAGATGTTTATTCACTTCTCTTCCAAGAAAAGTTAATCCAACAAGCTTAGTCGTAGAATTCTTCCTACCATCATCAAAAACTGAACAAATGAATCATAAATCAGAAGCACTACAATAAGCTATTTATTACTGCTTTATCAACATTTTTAGATACTGAAACAAACTGTTCTCAAGCAATTTATTATAGGATAATAAGTGGTTAGACACTTTAAAATCTATGTAGATGGGACAATAATGGGGATGATATCCGTTGTTCTTATTACATAGAACAAAAAAATCACAGACATTACATATAAGACAAACTTAATAAGGCTCAAAAAGAAAAAGAGAAGAAGGCAGACATCTTCAGAACTCTAAAAACAACAGTGTAGAGATTTCCCTGGGTTTCCTTCTTTGCCTTACAGATTGACAGCTACAGATAAACTGAAAATGTAAGTAGAACATGCCAGAAAAGCATTGACAAATGTCTACTGGATCTATCCAGAAGATCTGCCTCAAGGCTCATGGTGAACTACCTTGGAATACATAGTACAGCTGCAGTGATAAGGACAAAATGGACAAGAGACTGTAACCTAAAAAGTTGTGCTGTGACACTGCTTCCCATGGCACAGCATGTGTATGTCCAAACTCTAACATTAATTAATTAATTCTGTCTCTCCCTCCCTTCTTTCCTCTCTCCTCTCTCTCTCCCTACCCCCCCCTCTCTCTCTCTCTCACACACACACACACACACACACACACACACACACACACACACACGGTCTGCTCTATCCATTACTAAGGAAAATTCAGACAGTAGCCACTCAGATAAAACTGTGCTGGTACCCTATCAACTCCAGTTCATGGTCAGCCTCAACATCCTTAGCTTCTGTGATGTCAAAGAAGTAAAAAGAGAAGGCCAATGTTGCTCTTCTAGACCAATACTAAGAGATACCCCTCTCAATCAACCTTGGTAACAACAGAGACTCTGGACTCTCATCACCACCACCCCCATGATTAAATTAAAGAAGTGAATGCTTCTTTCCTATTAAGATGGTGTCAGAGGGAGCAGGGAGTCATGAATTTTTGCCAATCATACATAGTCATAAATAGAAGTCAAATGAGAATAAAGAGACAGGGCCTATCAAGGAAAGTAACATATGAGACGTATTATCTCAGAGATAATGAGAATCCTCATCTTCAGTGTAACAACCCTGACCTTATTTTCTCATGCAGCATGAGATTATGCATCTTCTGTCCCATGTAAATTCTGTGTCAAAAGCATTGTTAAAAATGCCTACAAACGGGGCTGTAGAGATAGCTCAGTGGTTAAGAGTATTGACTACTCTTCCAGAGGTCCTGAGTTCAATTCCCAGAAACCATATGGTGGCTCACAACCATCTGTAATGGAATCTGATTTTTTTCCTTGTGTGGTATGAAGACAGAGCACTCATATATAAATATATAAATACTTTAAAAATGATTATGAACATGTATGACAAATTAAAATGTGATTTTTAAAAGCTGAGTGGGCATAATTCAATAACAGGAAGAAAGAACAACAACAACAAAAGACTAATTAAAGCAAAATTACCCAATAAAAATAAAAGAGAAAAGTAGACAGAACAAAAACAGAAAACAAAAATGGAGCATCAGAAATCTGTGAAAATAAATTGGGGCCAGCAAGATGCTGCAACAGGTAAAGCACCTGTGACCTAAGGTCAATCCCCAGAGCCCTGACTTCATGTGTACTGTTGACACGTATGCACTTGTCTCCCCTCCTCACAACACAAATGATACATTTCAAAAAGTCAAAAAGCAAACATGTCATTTAAATTTCTGAGGGGAGAAGGTGTAGAAATGAAAAAAGAACTTGAAATAAGAGCAGAAAAATTCCCAATTAGCAAGAGTCATAAACATACCAACTGAAAAAGCTGAAAGAAAGCAAATAGAATAAAAAAAAACAAAACAAAACATATCACTACTTCTGAAAACAACCAAAAGAAAGACAGAGTGAGAAAGAGAACTCCAAAGTACCTACTACTCAGAACAAACATGTTAGTTCCATATGAAAAGACTGAAATGAGAGTTGCTCACTTTATACAGATTATGAATACTAGGAAGATATGCTATAAGAGTCTTCAACTGGAGAAGGACAGGAAGCAACCCAGAGGCTTCTACCCAGAAGATGTGTGATCTAGTAAAAGTCAGCGAGAAACCCATCATCAAATCTACCCTAAAAGAATTGCTGAAGGCAGCATTCCAAGCAGAAAAGTGATAATTTATTAAAAGGAAAAAAACCCTGAAACTTTTGTAGATGTGAGAGACAGAGGAAAGGTAATGAGCATAGGAAACAAATACAAATAGGTGAATGCAGCAGGTTCCTTTCAGCTCTGTGGTTGATAGCGAGGGCAAAAATAAGACTGATGTGATTCTAAATGCAAATGTATGAAATACTTAAGACAATCAGAAAATGAATTCAAGTTTCTATACTTCCCTCAAGCTAGTGAAATGATATCAACATACACATATATACATGCACATAAAAACTAGATGCTTAAAGCCACTAAAGTAAATAAAAATGAAGCTAAATGGAACAATTTTCACATATCCACAGTAAAAGAGAAAAAAAAAAAAACCAGAAATGAAAAGAATAAGGAAAACACAATATAAAATGGCAGACTTGAGCTCAAGTGTATCAGTATTTGATACAAAAGGCCTACATCCCTAAAAGAAAAGAGGAGTTCTAAAGTTGGCTCAGCAGTTAAGAGCAATTGCTGCTCTTCCTGATGACCTAAGTTCAGTTCCCAGCACCCACAATGGGTGACTCACAACTGCACATAACTCTAGAGAATCCAGTGCCCTCTTCTGACCCCTGGAGGCATCTGCACACATGTGCACACAAACACAAATAAATGAAAAGTAAAAATAAAATTTTAAAAACTTAAAAGGGAATGCAGCGTTACAGTACAAGTTAACTACATACTGCCAATGAGAACCTCATTTCAAATGTAACAGTATAAGCAAAATGGAAGCAAAAATAAAGGAAAATTCATGTTATAAAAACACTAATCAAAAGAAAGCAGGGCAAATATAGTATGACGTGGACAGATGAAGTGGACTTCAGAGTAAAGAAAATTACCATAGAGAAATTATATGATGAAAGAGTCAATACAAGAAGAGGTAGCAGGGTTTCAAAGTACATGAAGTCAAACTGACAGAACAGAGAAGAATCAAACAGTCATTCTGGAGACGTCAATGGTCTTTAAACAGCCGGTAGAACAAAGGGATTCAGTAAAGATATGGGAGGGCTTTATGCCAATGGGAACTGGCATAGAGGAGGGCTTAATGCCCCTACCAATGAAGCTGGCTTTTAGAATGGTCTATACAACAAGGCAAAGCACACAAATATTTTAAAGTTTATTTCACCCCATTCTATTTATTATTGTTGTTTGCATGTGTGTATAGCGTGTGTGTGTGTGTGTGTGTGTGTGTGTGTATGTGTGTGTTCTAGTACATGGACCATGGTGCATGTGTAGAGGCCAGAGAACAAGTTATTTCAGTTGTTTCTCTATACACATGTTTATGTGGATTCTGGAGATCAAATTCAGATTGTCAGCCTTTCAAGGCAAGCCTTTTCACCTGCTGAG